AAACCGAACCGCTTACACCCCTAGGATGGAGTTATAAGTTGCAATTATGAGTTAAATGTTTCAATAAACATCCAATTCATACCATTGTCATGACTTATTCATTAAACTTCAAAGTGCAAATTGGACTTTGTCCATTTGTACTTCATTCATCACCCTTAAAATACATTACCTAATTCCACGACGTGACTAGCAGAAATTCCGTGCGAACATTAGAATCGTTAGAAAAAATTACAACTCAACCAAATCAATTTTTCATTCCTCATCCAACTTATACTTGGTCACGTTATAATCTATCAAACTTCAAAATGTTTTCCAATGGTCACTCATCTTTGAAACGTTTCACTCCATCCATCATCCGTCAGATTCTATTTCCTTTGTTGCTAACTTATCGCACGAAAATCTCATGTGGTAAGTTGAGATTGTTAAAAAATTTATAACTCAGTTAAATCGTCAACTCAACAAAATCATTATATGTGAAACGTGATTTTCACGGTCTCATAAAAATCTTTAAGCTCCAATAATTCGTCCCCAATTTCAGCCCCAAAAATATTAGCCTCAAATTCACTCATCTCGTCCATGTACAACTAAGTTGTTGAGATGGAGACATTGTTGAGAAAGATAAGAGAAGCTTCTACTACTTATAAAGCCATATTCACCAATTGTACTACCTGTTCGGTGTTTCTCTAATCCCAATCTTCAATTTTTTGCAGGCTTATGTCCAACTATTTAAGGAATGATATGCCATCGAACCAAGAATTAGGGGCTAAAATTTTTTAGGGTTGAAATTGGAGATGCTTTATTGGGACTTAAAAGAAGTTTATGAGATCATGGAAGTCGCGTTTCCCATATAATGGTCTTGGCGAGTTGATGGTTTAGTTTGGTTTGATTTTAATTTTTTTAATGATCGTAACTTACTACGGGAGATTTTCGTGCAATACATTAGCAACAAAGGGAACAAGATCCGACAAATGATGGATGTAGTGCAATTGAGAAACATTTTAAAGTTTGATGAGTAAATTGTAACCAAGTATCAATTTGACGAGTAATGAAACAATAGTTTAGCTGAATTGTAATTTTTTAACGGCCTTAACTTGACACGTGAAATCTTCATTAGCCACGTCAACGAATAATGTAACAAATTTTTTAGGATAATGAATGAAATGCAAACAGAAAAATTTCAGTAAAATCTATTAAGCAATTTGAAGTTCAATGAATAAATCGCTTTCATGGTATAAATTTAATGATTGATTATTAAAACATTTAACTCTACAATTAGAGATTGACCACACTCTGCTGGCAATTTTTATTTTTTAATATATAAAAATGGAAAACAAAAGCATGTGTTTAATTTTTCCTCATTTAATAACACTTCTATAAATATAGGATCATGTTGCAAGCGATTCCTGTTGCAAATTTATATATATAGATGGTGTAATTAATTTTGTAACCAATAATTATCCTTCATAGTGTGCCACCCAAGTACTTAGCATTATTCCATAAGCTAAACACCGATGCTTAGGCGGTCAGTCATTGAGAATAAACTTGCCAGCAGGTACCAGCCAGGCTATGATGTTTACAACATTACTAAAATGAAAATGTAAACCTACGGTCATTCTTCAGGGACTGAGCGTGGTATGAATGATAGTAAATACTGTTGCCCAGAAGAACACCAAACTAACTAAAATGTCTCTATTTAGGAAATAAGGATTAATGAATTTCATCTTCAAACAAAGGGATAGATAAAATAAGAAAAACATATAATCTAACCAATCTGTAAGTTGCTTATATGCTTACAAGTTATTTTACATTGCCTGGCAAAGAGGCTTCAGCTTTTCACCTACTTCGTAGTCCCATCTGTCTTCATATCAGGGTAAGTTGGAGCTTCTCCCTGT